CCCACAAACCACAAACCATGTCCCCATAAACCAGCATGTCCCCACAAACCACCATGTCCCCACAAACCATGCCCTCACTAACCATGTTCCTACAAACCACCATGTCCCCACAAACCATGACACTCATGTCCAGGTCTCAGACAAACAGACAACTTTATTTCACATAAACGTCTTTATTACAGAACAATCTTCTCAATATAACTTTTATTTTACAGAAAACTGTATAAAACTTGAACAACAAAAAAACAAACACCACAGACGGTGCATTTTTCACGTTTTTTTCTGATGTTCCTGAACACACAATTTTCACGTGTTTTCCTGATGTTCCTGAACACACCACAGAGCTGCAAACGGTTTCGTTTGGGAAGTTTCTCCACTAAAAACATTAAAATATAAAACTGCCAACTTGTTTATTTTCTGAACATTCTCAGTGACCTCTTCAGCGGAGTCCTGTGAGGTCTCAGTGGACAGAGTCCTGCGAGGACACTTTATCTGTGAGGTCTCAGAGGACAGAGTCCTGTGAGGACACTTTATCTGTGAGGTCTCAGTGGACAGTGTCCTGAAGGTCTGGATTGGTCTGGATCCCTGAGAAGTGATTGGCTGGAGCTCCAGGCCCGTCTCCCAGCAGGACAGATCTCTGCGGGAACAAACAGGAATACACAGTGTGAATACAGGGAATAAATCAGCTTTTAGCCTGGTTAGCTTTTAGCTAGGTTAGCTTTTAGCCTGGTTAGCTTTTAGCCTGGTTAGCTTTTAGCTAGGTTAGCTTTTAGCCTGGTTAGCTTTTAGCCTGGTTAGCTTTTAGCTAGGTTAGCTTTTAGCCTGGTTAGCTTTTAGCCCGGTTAGCTTTTAGCTAGGTTAGCTTTTAGCCTGGTTAGCTTTTAGCACGGTTATCTTTTAGCTCGGTTATCTTTTAGCCTGGTTATCTTTTAGCCTGGTTAGCTTTTAGCTAGGTTAGCTTTTAGCACGGTTATCTTTTAGCTCGGTTATCTTTTAGCCTGGTTATCTTTTAGCCTGGTTAGCTTTTAGCTAGGTTAGCTTTTAGCCTGGTTAGCTTTTAGCCTGGTTAGCTTTTAGCCTGGTTAGCTTTTAGCTAGGTTATCTTTTAGCCTGGTTATCTTTTAGCCTGGTTAGCTTTTAGTTCGGTTAGCTTTTAGCCTCAACCTATCCTAAGGGAGTGCATGTACGTAGACACGTTAGTTAAGCTGCCATAGGCTTAGACTGTCGGGGGACACCTTACTTCTTCCTTCTGTCTGTCTGTACCTGTGTACTCTCATGTTCCCAATAACCCAGCCTCCCCCAAATTTATTTTTGGTGTCTATATCTACGCCGGGACTTTGAGTCGTGGCTGATCCTGTTGCTGTGGTCCTGAGTCCTGGATCCTCTATCCTGAGCACTGGATCTGAGTCCTGGACTTCGAGTCGTGGCTGAACCTGTCTCTGCGGTCCTGCCTGACTCTCATCATGCTGCTTCCCTGATGGCTTCCACAGGATTGATGACATCCTCGTGGATTCATCTTCTTATTACAGACACATGCATTTCCTAACATTCGGTCTTTCCTAACATTCGGTCTATATGCTGTAAAATGTATTATCTCTTGGATTTACACACGGCATCTATTGAACGTCTGTCCGTCCTGGGAGAGGGATCCCTCCTCTGTTGCTCTCCCTGAGGTTTCTCCCATGTTCCCTTTCAACTGGGGCCTCTCTGGTACAGCCCTCTCCTGGTTCCATTCCTACCTCTCCAACAGGCAACAGTTTGTGACCATCGGAAAATCCAGCTCTCCCCCAGCCCCTGTCAACCAAGGTGTGCCGCAAGGTTCAGTGCTCGGCCCCCTTCTATTCAACATCTACATGCTCCCCCTCGGTGAAATCATCCGCCGACATGGTCTCAACTTCCACTCCTATGCCGACGACACCCAACTCTACATCAGTACCAATCCATCATCCCAGCTACCCCCACTGTCACTTGTCAACTGCCTCCGCGACATCCAAGCCTGGATGTCAAAAAATCTACTTAAACTCAACAATAACAAAACAGAGCTCATGGTTGTGGCCCCAAAAACACTGCTCCGGAAGGTTGGAGATCTGCTCCTCACCATCGATGGCGGCTCCATCCACCCTTCCCCTGAGGTTCGCAGCCTGGGCGTCACTCTGGACTCCAGCCTCACCTTCAACTCCCACATCAGATCTACTGTCAAAACTGCTTTCTTTCACCTACGAAACATCTCCAGACTCCGGCCCTCTCTCCCCGACCCCGTTGCAGAAACATTAATTCATACCTTCATCTCTTCTCGTCTGGACTACTGCAATGGAGTTCTGTTCGGGGTCACCAGCAAAGCCCTGGACAAGCTCCAGTACGTCCAGAACTCTGCAGCCAGGCTCCTCACCCACACTAAGCCCTGGCAACACATCACCCCTACCCTCATCCACCTTCACTGGCTCCCGGTCAAGTCACGCATCCAGTACAAACTCCTCCTGCTAACTTACAAATCTCTCCACTCCCTAGCCCCTCCATACATCTCTGACCTCCTTCAGCCCTACACCCCCTCTCGTCACCTGCGGTCCTCTGACAAAGGGCTGCTCTCCATCCAGCGCTCCAAGCTGAAAACATTTGGCAACAGAGCCTTCAGTGTCGCAGCCCCCACCCTCTGGAATTCTCTCCCCTGTGCAATCAGGAATGCAGACAATCTGGACACCTTCAAAAAACACCTCAAACACCATCTGTTCACTCAGGCCTTTGGCCTCAACTAATATACAGTACTCAGCAACCTGTTCCTGTTTTTGTTTTCTTCAGCCTATGTCTCTTTATTTTTACTTTTTGTTTTGTTACTTCCCATTGTAAAGCGTCCTTGGGTTTCGTGAAAGGCGCTATATAAATTGAAATTATTATTATTATTATTATTAACTGTGGGGTTTCTCTGGAAGTGTTTCCTTGTACGATGTGAGGGTCTAAGGACAGAGGGTCTGAGGACAGAGGGTCTAAGGACAGAGGGTCTGAGGACAGAGGGTCTAAGGACAGAGGGTCTGAGGACAGAGGGTCTAAGGACAGAGGGTCTGAGGACAGAGGGTCTAAGGACAGAGGGTCTGAGGACAGAGGGTCTAAGGACAGAGGGTCTAAGGACAGAGGGTCTAAGGACAGAGGGTCTAAGGACAGAGGGTCTGAGGACAGAGGGTCTGAGGACAGAGGGTCTAAGGACAGAGGGTCTGAGGACAGAGGGTCTAAGGACAGAGGGTCTGAGGACAGAGGGTCTGAGGACAAAGGGTCTAAGAACAGAGGGTCTAAGGACAGAGGGTCTAAGGACAGAGAGTCTGAGGACAGAGGGTCTGAGGACAGAGGGTCTAAGGACAGAGGGTCTGAGGACAAAGGGTCTAAGAACAGAGGGTCTAAGGACAGAGGGTCTAAGGACAGAGGGTCTAAGGACAGAGGGTCTGAGGACAGAGGGTCTGAGGACAGAGGGTCTAAGGACAGAGGGTCTGAGGACAGAGGGTCTGAGGACAGAGGGTCTGAGGACAGAGGGTCTGAGGACAGAGGGTCTGAGGACAGAGGGTCTAAGGACAGAGGGTCTAAGGACAGAGGGTCTAAGGACAGAGTGTCTGAGGACAGAGGGTCTAAGGACAGAGGGTCTAAGGACAGAGGGTGTCGTATTGTCATACTGATATTCTGTACAAACTGTGAAGTCCACTGAGACAAATGTAACATTTGTGATATTGGGTTATAGATAAACATTGATTGATTGATTGATTGATTGATTGATTGAGATAGAGTATCTTTTAGCTCGGTTATCTTTTAGCTCGGTTATCTTTTAGCTCGGTTAGCTTTTAGCTCGGTTAGCTTTTAGCCTGGTTATCTTTTAGCTAGTTTATATTTGAGCTCGGTTAGCTTTACTTTAGGCCTATAACGTCGTTAAAACTAATTTGCGTCGGTGATATTTTCCCATGCCCTTTGATCCCTCTCTCTAACGATTGTACACGGTGGTTTCAGAGACTCACCCTTCCTCTCCTCTTTCTTCCTTTAATCCTCTTCAACACCTCCTCTACCTCCTCTTCCTCCTCCTCTTCTTCCTCCTCCTCCTCTGGCACAGTCTTCTTTCTGATTGGCTGCAGGCTGGCGAGGAGGGCGGGCACAGTGAAGCAGGACAGGAAGCGCGCCTTCAGCAGCTGGTAGGCGGGGTTACCTGAGAAACGCTCTGCCACCAGCTGACGTGTCACTGCAACAAGCTCCGCCTCCTTCACTAGCTCCGCCTCCTCCTCGGGTGGGACGGAGGGAGCTGCAGGGGAGAAAAAAACGTCCACATTTAATCTTGTTCATTACAGAAGCCTCCGTGCACCGGGGCGAGGAAACATACAGAGATTATATCCCAACATGTTTTGGGGGGATTTTCAGAACATTTTCAGATTTTTTATTTTATTTTTAGAATTTCAATATTAAGTCAACATTTTTAGAATGTCTTGAGGAAACATGGAGAAGCAGAAGTTCAAAACACAACGGAAACCAGGGGACACTAAAGAAAAGCACTGCGTAAAGCGAGAGCAGCATTCTCTTCATTAATAGATGAGAATAAGAATAATGCAAGATTTCTTTTCAGCACTGTAGCCAGGCTGACAGAGAGCCACAGCTCGATTGAGCCTTCTATTCCCATAGCACTCAGTAGTAATGATTTTATGTGCTTTTTTAACGATAAAATTGTTACTCTTAGAAACAAAATGAATGACCTCTTGCCTTTGACCAGTATAGTGTTATCAACAGCTCCCGGACACGTAAGTTCTAATATTACACTAGATAGTAAACTAGAATGCTTTTCAGCCATAAACCTTGAACAATTAAATTCAATGATTCTCTCTTCTAAACCATCAACGTGCATGTTAGACCCAATTCCAACTAAGCTGTTGAAGGAAGTTTTTCCATTAATTAGCACTTATTTATTAAATATTATGAATATGTCTTTATTATCAGGCTATGTTCCACAATCATTCAAAGTAGCAGTGATAAAACCGCTTCTTAAAAAGCACAACCTCGATCCAGAGGTTTTAGCCAACTATAGACCTATTTCTAATCTTCCGTTGCTCTCAAAAATTCTTGAGAAAGCTAAACAGCTGATTACTTAAAAAACAATGATTTATTTGAAGCTTTTCAGTCTGGCTTTAGAACACATCATAGCACAGAGACAGCTCTGGTTAAAGTCACAAATGACATTCTAATAGCCTCTGACAAGGGATGTGTCTCTATTCTTGTTTTGCTCGATCTCAGTGCTGCATTTGATACTATCGACCATGATATCTTATTGCAAAGACTAGAGCACTTAGTTGGCATACAGGGAACTGCTTTAGGCTGGTTTAGGTCCTATCTATCTGAACGCTCTCAGTTTGTACGTGTCAATGATGAATCTTCCACGCAAACCAAAGTTATCCATGGAGTGCCACAGGGCTCAGTGCTCGGACCTATTTTGTTCACATTATATATGCTTCCGTTAGGCAATATTATAAGGAATCACTCTGTACATTTTCATTGTTATGCGGATGATACTCAACTATATTTATCAATCAAGCCTGATGAAATTAATCATCTAAATAAAATTCAAGACTGCCTCAAGGACTTAAAAACGTGGATGACCTTAAACTTTTTGATGTTAAACACGACCAAAACTGAAGTTATTGTACTCGGCCCGAAGAATCTACGAAACAAATTATCTATACTAACTATGGATGGCATTAATTTGGCCTCCAGTGAGACTGTAAGGAATCTTGGTGTTATATTTGATCAGGATTTATCCTTTAACGCCCACATAAAATCAATTTCAAGGACCGCCTACTTCCATCTACGTAACATTGCAAAAATCAGGCATATCTTGCCTCAAAACGATGAAGAGAAACTAGTCCATGCATTTGTTACTTCAAGGCTGGATTATTGTAACTCTTTATTATCAGGGTGTACCAAGAAGTCAGTCAAGTCGCTTCAGCTGATTCAAAATGCTGCAGCTCGTGTACTAACCAGAGTTAGGAAAAGGGACCACATTACTCCTGTTCTGGCTGCCTTACACTGGCTCCCTATAGAACACAGGATAGAATTTAAAATTCTTCTTCTCGCCTACAAAGCCCTTAATGGGCAGGCGCCATCTTACCTTAAATAACTCATTATACCCTACTGTCCTACTAGGGCATTGCGTTCCAAGAATGCAGGGTTGTTGGTTGTTCCTAGAGTCTCTAAAAGTACAATGGGAGCCAGAGCCTTTTCTTATCAAGCTCCACATTTGTGGAATCAGCTTCCAGTTTGTGTTCGGGCGGCAGACACCCTATCCGTTTTTAAGAGTGCGCTTAAGACCTTCCTTTTTGATAAAGCTTATAGTTAGGGCTGATTAGATCCAGCCCCTAGTTTTGCTGATATAGGCTTAGTTTGTCGGGGGACATCTTACTTCTTCCTTCTCTCTGTCTATACCTGTGTACTCTCATGTTCCCATTAACCCAGCTTCCCCAAATGTCTTTCTTTTTGGTGTCTATATACGCCGGGATCCGGAGTCATGGATGATCCTGCGCTCCTCTGTCCTGGATCGCGAGCCCTGGATCTTGAGTCGTGGCTGTGGTCCTGGATCATAGGTCCTGGATGGATATCCTCGTGGATTCATCTTCCTATTACACACACATGCATTTCCAAACATTTGGACTACCTATGTTGCAAATGTATTATCTTTTCAATTTACACACGGCATCTATTGCACGTCTGTCCGTCCTGGGAGAGGGATCCCTCCTCTGTTGCTCTCCCTGAGGTTTCTCCCATTTTTCCCTTTAAACTGTGGGTTTTCTTCGGAAGTTTTTCCTTGTACGATGTGAGGGTCTAAGGACAGAGGGTCTAAGGACAGAGGGTCTAAGGACAGAAGGTCTAAGGACAGAGGATCTAAGGACAGAGGATCCGAGGACAGAGGATCTAAGGACAGAGGGTCTGAGGACAGAGGGTCTAAGGACAGAGGGTCTAAGGACAGAGGATCCGAGGACAGAGGGTCTGAGGACAGAGGGTGTCGTATTGTCATACTGATATTCTGTACAAACTGTGAAGTCCACTGAGACAAATGTAACATTTGTGATATTGGGTTATAGATAAACATTGATTGATTGATTGATAAAGAGTGACGCACTCAGCTGGGAGACCAGGGGACACTAAAGAGTGACGCACACAGCTGGACACCAGGGGACACTAAAGAGTGACGCACTCAGCTGGGAGACCAGGGGACACTAAAGAGTGACGCACACAGCTGGACACCAGGGGACACTAAAGAGTGACGCACTCAGCTGGGAGACCAGGGGACACTAAAGAGTGACGCACACAGCTGGACACCAGGGGACACTAAAGAGTGACGCACTCAGCTGGGAGACCAGGGGACACTAAAGAGTGACGCACACAGCTGGACACCAGGGGACACTAAAGAGTGACGCACTCAGCTGGGAGACCAGGGGACACTAAAGAGTGACGCACACAGCTGGACACCAGGGGACACTACAGAGTGACGCACTCAGCTGGGAGACCAGGGGACACTAAAGAGTGACGCACACAGCTGGACACCAGGGGACACTAAAGAGTGACGCACTCAGCTGGGAGACCAGGGGACACTAAAGAGTGACGCACACAGCTGGACACCAGGGGACACTAAAGAGTGACGCACTCAGCTGGGAGACCAGGGGACACTAAAGAGTGACGCACACAGCTGGACACCAGGGGACACTAAAGAGTGACGCACTCAGCTGGGAGACCAGGGGACACTAAAGAGTGACGCACACAGCTGGACACCAGGGGACACTAAAGAGTGACGCACTCAGCTGGGAGACCAGGGGACACTAAAGAGTGACGCACACAGCTGGACACCAGGGGACACTAAAGAGTGACGCACTCAGCTGGGAGACCAGGGGACACTAAAGAGTGACGCACACAGCTGGACACCAGGGGACACTAAAGAGTGACGCACTCAGCTGGGAGACCAGGGGACACTAAAGAGTGACGCACACAGCTGGAGACCAGGGGACACTAAAGAGTGACGCACTCAGCTGGGAGACCAGGGGACACTAAAGAGTGACGCACACAGCTGGACACCAGGGGACACTACAGAGTGACGCACTCAGCTGGGAGACCAGGGGACACTAAAGAGTGACGCACACAGCTGGACACCAGGGGACACTAAAGAGTGACGCACTCAGCTGGGAGACCAGGGGACACTAAAGAGTGACGCACACAGCTGGACACCAGGGGACACTAAAGAGTGACGCACTCAGCTGGGAGACCAGGGGACACTAAAGAGTGACGCACACAGCTGGACACCAGGGGACACTAAAGAGTGACGCACTCAGCTGGGAGACCAGGGGACACTAAAGAGTGACGCACACAGCTGGACACCAGGGGACACTAAAGAGTGACGCACTCAGCTGGGAGACCAGGGGACACTAAAGAGTGACGCACACAGCTGGACACCAGGGGACACTAAAGAGTGACGCACTCAGCTGGGAGACCAGGGGACACTAAAGAGTGACGCACACAGCTGGACACCAGGGGACACTAAAGAGTGACGCACTCAGCTGGGAGACCAGGGGACACTAAAGAGTGACGCACACAGCTGGACACCAGGGGACACTAAAGAGTGACGCACTCAGCTGGGAAACCAGGGGACACTAAAGAGTGACGCACACAGCTGGAGACCAGGGGACACTAAAGAGTGACGCACACAGCTGGAGACCAGGGGACACTAAAGAGTGACGCACTCAGCTGGGAGACCAGGGGACACTAAAGAGTGACGCACACAGCTGGAGACCAGGGGACACTAAAGAGTGACGCACACAGCTGGGAGACCAGGGGACACTACAGAGTGACGCACACAGCTGGGAGACCAGGGGACACTAAAGAGTGACGCACACAGCTGGGAGACCAGGGGACACTAAAGAGTGACGCACACAGCTGGACACCAGGGGACACTAAAGAGTGACGCACTCAGCTGGGAGACCAGGGGACACTAAAGAGTGACGCACACAGCTGGACACCAGGGGACACTAAAGAGTGACGCACTCAGCTGGGAGACCAGGGGACACTAAAGAGTGACGCACACAGCTGGACACCAGGGGACACTAAAGAGTGACGCACTCAGCTGGGAGACCAGGGGACACTAAAGAGTGACGCACACAGCTGGACACCAGGGGACACTAAAGAGTGACGCACTCAGCTGGGAGACCAGGGGACACTAAAGAGTGACGCACACAGCTGGACACCAGGGGACACTAAAGAGTGACGCACTCA